GCAATAGATCTGAGATGAGAAACATGCTGCAGGAATATACTGTCCTTATTTCACACTAACATGAGGAGCCGTATTTCCACCATTCACCATTGCAAACATTATAATGGTACAACGAGTCCACTGAGTTTGTATAACTGGTAGCACTAAAAGGATTATGTAACAAGTTAGTGGGCCAAAAAGGGTAAGAAGGTCTCTGCTGGGAAAAAAATTACCTCCCAGGGAACAGAGCTGGATGTTCCCTTAGGCCTCTTCAACCAAGCAGTTCATCCTTTCACAATGCAAATGTATACCAGGTTTACTTTAAGCTTTGCTCTCTGTAAAGTTCCTTTCTTGAGTGCTCCAAAGAATAGAAAGGGAAATGTGGTAAATATTAAAGAGATCTACAATTAAACTCTTTTCTTTTTTCTGTTCTTTGCTACTGTTCAGTTACTAAATCCTTCACCTCTCGCTATGAGAAATCTTTTCAATTTGCCCCATTTTCTTTTTTCTTTTTTTTTGAGTTGGAGTCTCACTCCATCGCCCAGGCTGGAGTACACTGGCACGTTCACAGCCACCCCAGTGTCGACCTGCTGGGCTCCGGTGATTCTTCTGCCTCAGCCTTCCAAGTAGCTGGAACTACAGGCGTGCCCCACCATACCTGGCTAATTTTTTATTTATTATAGAGATGAGGTCTCGCCAAGTTGCTCGGGCTGGTCTCGAACCCGTGGGCTCAGACAATCCACTTGCCTCGGTCTCCCAAAGTGCTGGGATCACAGGCTGAGCCACTGAGCCCGGCCAAATTGCTGCATTTTCATTTCTACAAATACCACAGTAATCCAAGTCTTTTTTTTCTTTTTTTTTGAGTCAGGGTGATTCTTCACCTCAGCCTCCTGAGTAGCTGGAGGTGTGTGCCACCAAGCCTGACATTTTTTTTTTTTGTAGACAAGCTTGTTATGTTGCCCAGGCTGGTTTTGAACTCCTGGGCTCAAGCAATCCTCCCACCTGGGCCTCCAAAAGTGCTGAGATTACAGGCAGGAGCCACCTCACCCAGCCCAGGTCTTATTCCTTATCCGTTTATTTGATGGTATTTGCGTCAGAGTCTTGTTCTGTCGCCCAGGCTGGAGTGGAGTGGCATGCTCACAGCCACCGCAGCCTCAGGTGAGCCCAGGTGATCTTTCCACTTCAGCCTTCCAAGTAGCTGAAATTACAGGCACATGCCACCATGCCCAGCTAGTTTTTTGATTTATTGTAGAGACAAGGTCTTGCCAAGTTGCCCAGGCTGGTCTCAAACGTGTGGGCTCAGGCAATCCTCTTGCCTCAGTCTCCCAAGGTGCTGGGATTACAGGCTTGAGTCACTGTGCCTGGCCTATCAGGTAGATTTTTAAATAGGAATGCTTTGGTTGCTGTATAGAGAACAGTCTGTCAGGTTTATATATGGCACCAATCTAATAGTAATAGTTAGCAATTAATCAATTATTATTTCCTTGACTTAGTCGACAAATGAACCACAAATTCAATTGTTTTGAGTAACAGTTTCTGGCACATAAAAAACAATATTGCTTTCAAATTTGTATAATGCCTATTTCTTTCTTTCTTTCTTTCTTTTTTTGAGTAGGAGTCTCACTCGGTCACCCAGGTTGGAGGGCAGTGGCACATTCCCGGCCACCACAGCCTTGACCTGCTGGGGTTCAGGGGATCCTTCCACCTCAGCCTTACAAGTCGCTGGAACTTCAGGCACACACCTCCAAGCCTGGCTAATTTTTTGATTTATTGTAGAGATGGGGCTTCGCCAAGTTGCCCAGGCTGGTCTCAAATCTGTGGCTCAGGCAATCCTCTCACCTCAGCCTCCAAAGTGCTGGGATTACAGGTGTGAGCCTCCATGCCTAGTGAGACCCCCGTCTCTCAAAAAAAAAAAAAACAGGCCAGGTTCAGTGGCTCAGTCTGTAATCCCAGCACTTTGGGAGGCCGAGGAGAGTAGATCGCCTGAGACTGGGTTCAAGACCAGCCCGGGCAACTTGGCAAGACCTCATCTCTACAATAAACACAAAATTAGCTGGGCATGGTAGCACACGCCTTTAGTTTCAGCTACTTGGAAGTGCTGGGGGGTGGCCATGACTGTGCCACAGCACTCCAGCCTGGGCAACAGAGAGAGACTCAAACCAAAAAAAAAGATGGGATCTCACCAGGCACAGAGGCTTACACCTATAATCCCAGTACTTTGGGAAGCTGAGGTGAGAAGACTGTCTGAGCCCAGGACTTCGAGACCAGCCTGGGCAGCTTGGTGAGACCTCATTTCTACAACAAATCAAAAAATTAGCTGGGCATGTTGGCACAGGCCTGTGGCTCCAGCTAGTTGGAAAGTTGAGGAAGAAGAATCGCCTTATCCCAGCAGGTTGAGGCTTCAGTGGCCATAAGTGTGCCAATGCACTCTGGCCTGGGTGACAGTGAGATTCCAACTCAAAAAAATATTAAAAATGAAAATAAAAGAAAAGCATTTTAAGGGTTCAAAGTGTTATTTAAATTCTTGTCTCTCTTGAAAACAATGTTTGTGCTAAGCATTTGTCAGCAAGAAGTTTTTTTTTTTAATTGCAAGAAAACACCCTACTATCTCTGTAATCGTTTTGAGATTACTGTTTATAGAGTTTTGCGTGAGGAGAAATAGGCATTATAGGCCAGGCACAGTGACTGAGGATTGTAATCCCAGCACTTTGGGAGGCTGAGGCAGTAGGATTGCTTGAGTCCAGGAGTTGGAGACTAGCCTGGGCAACATAGTGAGACCCCATCTCTCTCTTTTTTTTTTTTGAGCTGGAGTCTGTCTCTGTCACCCAGGCTGGAGTGCAGTTGGCATGCTCACAGCCACTGCAGCCTCACCCTGCTGGGCTCAGGCAATCCTTCCGGTTCAGCCTTCTAAGTACAGGCATACCCAGCTAATTTTTGATTTATTGTAGAAACTAGGTCTCACCATGTTGTCCAGACTGATCTCAAATCCTGGTCTCATGTAATTCTCTCAACTCAGTCTCCCAGAGTGCTGGGATTTACAGGTGTGGTGTAAAATGCTTAGATGTGTGACTTAAAATGCTTTTAAACTCATGTTTATCATGTGAGAATATGTAGGTCTGGGGAACACTGGAATTAAATTTATATTAATTTTACAATTTTACATTTAGTTCTTAAGCTAATAGTGGAGGCTCTCAATAGCAAGGATTTTCACCTTTTCCCCCCCCAACACTTCAGTGTGAAACATAGCAGTGCAATAAATGAAGAGGAGAAAATACTTTATAGTAAATTGCCAATGGATAAATACAGAAGAAATAGCAGAATTAGAAAATGACCCATTCTGCAACCATCATAGGAATAACCGATTCAAGCAAATCATCAATCAATGCTAAAACTGCTGGGGGCAAGTTATTTTACAAATGGGATATTTACACAACCCGTGGGAACATAAATTACTACTTATTAATTAAAAAGGGGCTCAGAAACCAATATTCCAAAATATGGAGCTTTGACATGCTACACTGAAGTCTCAAGGTCTCTCTGGTCTCTCCCAAACCATAGGATAAAACTGAAGTTTCCTTATCTGCCTAAGACCCAGACCCACCAAAAAGAACAACTGTTTTTGTTTTTGAGTTGGAGTCTCATTCTGTTGCCCAGGCTGGAGTGCAGTGGCATGATCACGGCCACCGCAGCCTCAACCTGCTGAGCTCAAGGCGATCCTTCTGCCTCAGTCTTCCCAGTAGCTGGGACTACAAGCACATGCCACCATGACCAGCTAATTTTTTCTTTTTTAATTGCAGAGACTAGGGCTTGCCAAGTAGCCCAGGTTGGTCTAGAACCCCTGGGCTCAGGTAGTCCTCTAGCCTCAGCTTCCCAAAGTGATGGGATTACAGACATGAGCCACCACCCGCCCCCCCCCACTAGGAGCGATTGTTTTTTCTTCCCCTCCACGTACGACCAAGAATGTAGTCACACCTAAACACACCCCTGCACGAGATAATGTGGAAATTAATCTGTGTCCCCTGATCCGTTCATTCTCCCTAATGTCAACAGAATTCCTCTCCTCTCTGTTCCCATGACCTGTTTGTCAGGATGGTATATAAGCTTCTGAGCCATCTTGGGAGGGTGGGCAATTACTCTGATTCACCTATGTTCATGTTAAATAAATTTGTATGCCTTTTTCTTCAATTAATCTGCCTTTTGTGAGTTGATTTTTCAGAGAATGAAGAGAAACTTTTACTTTGGCCCTGACTCAAAAAATTGAAAAAAATGATATTGCATTCCTTCTGATGCAATGTAGTTAAGAAGGTATCATTAACATGGTATCATTTATGTGCTTTCCTGCTGAAACCGTATAACCTGAATCTTACCATGAGGAAGCAATCAGACAAGCTCATATGGAAAGACAGGACATTTCACAAAATAATAGGCTTGTTCTCTTCTCAAAAACGTCAAAGTTACAAAAGACCAAAAAAAAAAAAAGATGAAGAACCATTTTAGAATAAAGGAGAATAAAGTATACAACTAAATGTGCTGGTTGCTGGATTTTTTTTGGTTTTGGGGTTTTTTTTGAGTTGGAGTCTGACTCCGTTGCCCAGGCTGGAATGCAGTGGCATCATCACGGCCACCCCAGGGTTGACCCATTGGGCTCAGGAGATCCTTCCGCCTCAGCCTTCCAAGTAGCCAGAACTACAGGCATGTGCTACCATGCTTGGCTAATTTTTTTGTTTATTGTAGAGATGAGGTCTTGCCAAGTTGCCCATGGACTCAGGCAATTCTCTCACCTCAGCCTCCCAGAGTGCTGGGATTACAGGCTTGAGCCACCATGCCCAGCCAGTTCCTGGATTTTAAAAAAGTTGCTATAGAACAGGTACGATGCTTCAAGCCTATAATCCCAGCACTTTGGGAGGTCGAGGTGGGAGGACTGCTTGAGCCTAGGAGTTCCACATCAAGCCTAGGCAACTTAGAGAGACCTCATCTCTACAAAAGCAACTTTAAAAAGTAGCCATGCATGGTGGCAGCACCTGTAGTCCCAGCTACTCAGGAGGCCGAGGTAGGAGATAGCATTGTCTGAGTCCAGGAGGTTAAGGCTGCTGTGAGCTGCGATCATGCCACTGCCCTTCAGCCTGGGTGACAGAATGAGACTCTGACTCAAAATAAATAAATAAATTAATTAAAGGCCAGGCTCAGTGGCTCAGCCTGTAATCCCAGCACTTTGGGAGGCCGAGGTGAGTGGATCGCCCGAGATTGCAGGTTTGAGAACAGCCCGGGCAACTTGGCCAGACCTCGTCTCTACAATAAATAAAAAACATAGCTGGGCGTGGTAGTGGGCACCTGTAGCTCTAGCTACTTGGAAGGCTGGGGTGGAAGGATTGCCGGAGCCCATGAGATTGATGCTGAGATGGCCGTGAGTGTGCCACTGCACTTCAGCCTGGGTGATGAAGTGAGATCCCAACTCAAAAAAAAAAAAAAAGATCTAGGTTGCAAACTCCTTATGAGAATCTACTGCCTGATGCTCCCCTCTACCATGTCCAAGGAAAAATTGTCTTCCACAAACCTGGACCCTGATACCAAAAAGGTTGGGAACCACGGCTATAAAGGACAGTATTGAATCAACTAGCAAGAACTGAACACCAACTGTATGCAAGTTAACAGTATTGTATCAATGTTAAATTTCCTGAATTTGATACAGTTACTCTTTGGTCAGCACTCTTGCTCTTAGGAGACACAAGCAACGTCTCTCAAGGATTCAGCAAGAAAAAAAAGAAAGAAAGAAAAAACGTGTAAATAATAATTATGCTGGGCACAATGACTCACCCTTGTAATCCCAGCACTTTGGGAGGCAGAGGCAAGAGGACTGACTGAGCCTTAGGGTTTGAGACTAGCCTGGGCAACATGGCAAGACCTGGTCTCTACAATCAATCAAAAAAGTAGCCACATGTGGTGGCGCATGCCTGTAGTTCCAGCTACTTGGAAGACTGAGGCAGAAGGATCACCTGAGCACAGTAGGTCGAGGTTGTGGTGGCCGTGAGCGTGCCACTGCACTCCAGTCTGGGTGAGAGTGAAACTTCAACTCAAAAAAATATATATACTTTTAACACAGCGGAATTAGTAAGATTAAGACATTCCAGGTTCCCGAAAAAAGAGTTAAGTCAAAGCCACAGATGTAAGGGGAAACTGATGCCAGGGAGCAGGGGCCTGTGGGGGTCAAGATTAGGTTCTTCTAACAAACACATTAGAACAGAAGTAGGGTTGGGGAATGTTACTTCAACCTTATGGGCAGAAAACACCCATATCCTACATAAAGTCCTAGAGTCAAGTGCTCCTTGGTCACAGAAACAAGAAGACGCCTGAAGAAGCAATAAAGAGGTTAGCCATCTACCATGATGAGGTTGGGAGGTGGACAAGTTGCTTTCAAAATATTAAAAGAATAAGCAGTACAGTACATAAATACTGAAATCCAAAATTATACAACCTACATGTATGATAAGGAAATGAAAAGCCAAGTAATTAGCCTAAACAGGTCTCCCAAAGTGCTGCGGATTATAGGCATGAGCCACCGCGCCTGGCCCGAATGCATAATTTAAAACTACAGACTTTATGCGGAAATAAAATACCAAGATCTCAAAATAACAAGCTAATATGAAAGGTACTACACATCTGAGATAGGAGAGTAGCCAAGGTAAAAGGAAACCTATTTATTTTTGGACTTATGAAACTTGTAAAAGAGAACAGAGCCTAAGACAGTTACAGCAATGCTTTGTTTGTTTGTTTGTTTGTTTGGAGTTGGAGTCTCATTTCACCACCCAGGCTGAAGTGCAGTGGTATGTGGTTCACAGCCACCGGAGCCTCAACCTGCTGGGCTCAGGTGATCCTTCCACCTCAGCCTTCCAGGTAGCTGGAACTACAGGCATGCGCCACCATGCCTGGCTGATTTTTTGATACCTTTTTTTTTTTGAGTTGGCGTCTCACTCTGCCACCCAGACTGGAGTGCAGTGGCCGCTCCCGGCCACCGCAGCCTCGACCTAGTGGGCTCTGGCGATCCTTCTGCCTCAGCCTCCCAAGTAGCTGGAACTACAGGCATGCGCTATCACGCCCGGCTAATTTTTGATTTATTGTAGAGATGAGGTCTTGCCAAGTTGCCCAGGTGGGTCTCGAAGCTGCAGGCTCAGGCAATCCACTCACCTCAGCCTCCCAAAGCGTGGGATTACAGGTTTAGCCACCAAGCCCAGTTAATTTTTTGATTTTTATCATAGAGATGAGGTCTCACCAAGTTGCCCAAGTTGGTCTTGAACCTGTGGGCTCAGGCAATCCTTTCACCTCGGCCTCCCAAAGTGCTGCAATTATAGGCGTGAGCCATCGCACCTGGCCTGAATTCATAATTTAAAACTACAGTCTTTATGCGGAAATAAAATACCAAGATCTCAAAATAACAAGCTAATATGAAAGGTACTACACATCTGAGATAGGAGAGTAAGCAAGGTAAAAGGAAACCTATTTATTTTTGGACTTATGAAACCTGTAAAAGAGAACAGAGCTTAAAGCAGCTACAGCAATGCTATGGCCCAAATCATCAGGACACAGTGTGGGCATGAAAAAATCAGGCTTGGGCAAGGTATGGTGGCTCACGCCTATAATACCAGCACTTTGGGAGGATGAGGTGAGAGGATTGCCTGAGTCCCCGGGTATGAGACCAGCTGGGCAACTTGGTGAGACCTCATTTCTATAATAAATCAAAAAATTAAAAAATAAATCAAAAAATTAACTGGGCATGAAGGCTGACACAGAAGGATCGCCAGAGCCTAGCAAGTCGAGGCAGCGGTGGCCAAGAGTGTGTCACTGCCCTCCAGCCTAGGTGACAGGTGAGACTCTGACTCAAAAAAAAAAGAAAGAAAAAAAGAAAAAATCAGGATTATAAAGGCCTGACTATAAGGCAGCAAGTAAAGAAAGTTTTGGAAAACCAGAGTGAGGAGTTCTGGGAGCAGAAAGTAATTTGGAAGAAGATCTAGCCTAGCTTTGTAACTGAAGAGGCAAGGCTTATCTAGGATGTTGAGAAATAGGTTGAATTTTTTAAATGATCACTTCACACGCTTTTTCTTAAAAACTGAGATAGTCACATGCCATAAAAATTGCCATTTTAAAGTATTCAATTCAGCAGTTTTAGTACATTTGCAAAGAGGTACAACCACTGTCACTATCTAACCTTAGAACATTTTCATTAAACCAAAAAAGAAATCCTAGCTGAATAATATTCCTCTGTATGGATATACCACATTTTGTTTATTGATTCACCAGCTGACAATCATTTGCACTGTCTCTACTTTTTGGATGGTAGGAATAATATTGCTAAGAAATCTGTGTACACATTTTTATGTTAACATATGTTTCCTATTCTCATGGGTATATAATTAGAATGGAATTCCTGGGTCATATGGTAATTCAACATTTAACTTTTTGAGGAACTGCCAAACTGTTTTCCAAAGCAGCTGTACCATTTAACATTCAGTAGTGGGCTGAAATTTAAGATTAGTACATAAAATAAGGACAGCCAGGTGTGGTGGCACGTGCCTGTAGCCCCAGCTATTCGGAAGACTGAGGCAGAAAGATGGCTTAAGCCCATGAATTTGAGGTTGCAGCATGCTATGATCACACCTGTGAGTAGCTATAGCCTGGGCAATATATACAGATTCTGTCTCTATTAGAAAAAAATGGGCTGGGTTCGGTGGTTCAGCCTGTAATTCCAGTGTTTTGGGAGGCCGAGGTGAATGGACTGTCTGAGTCCATGGGTTCGAGACCCACCCACGCAACTTGGCAAGACCTCATCTCTACATCAAAAATTAGCTGGGCGTGGTAGTGCGTGCCTGTAGTTCCAGCTACTTGGAAGGCTGAGATGGAAGGATCGCCGGAGCCCAGCAGGTCGAGGTTGCGGTGGCCAGGAATGTGCCACTGCACTTCAGTCTGGGTGACAGGGTGAGATTCCAACACACACAAAAAATGAGCAAAGATGACAGACACTATGTATGGGTTTTTTTTCTTTTCCTTTTTCAAGTAATTCTCCCCTTTTCACAGTCCCTCTCTGTTCTTCAAATCATTTTTTTTTTTTTTGAGTAGGAATCTCACTGTCAACCCAGACTGGAGTGCAGTGGCACGCTCAAGGCCACCGCAGCTTCGACCCGCTGGGCTCAAGCGATCCTTCCACCTCAGCCTTCCAAGTAGCTGGAACTACAGGCATGCACCACCATGCCTAGCTAATTTTTTGATTTATTATAGAGATGGGGGGGTCTCACCAAGTTGCCCATGCTGGTCTCGAACCCATGGGCTCAGAAAATTCTCTCACTTCAGTCTCCCAAAGTGCTGGGATTATAGGTGTGAGCCACCTCACCCGGCTTTCCAATCATGTTTAATCCATAATATATGACCCAGGCACATATGCTATTGCTCTATCTTTTAAGATTTTTACAGCTGGGCTCGGTGGCTCAGCCTGTAATCCCGCGCCTTTGGGAGGTTGAGGTGAGTGGATTGCCTGAGCCCGTGGGTTCGAGACCCGCCTGGGCAGCGAGACCTCATCTCTACAATAAATCAAAAAATTAGCCGGGCGTGGTATCACGCTCCTGTAATTCTGGCTACTCGGAAGGCTGAGGCGGAAGGATGACCGGAGCCCAGCAGGTTGAGGCTGCGGTGGCCGGGAGTGGCCACTGCACTCCAGTCTGGGGGGCAGAGTGAGACTCCAAATTAAAAAAAAAAAGATTTTTACATATACAAAATAGTAGATATTTTTTCTTTTTCTCAGAAAATGACTAAATGTAGTGGCAAACTGTATGGCTTCAAACTAGCTTTTTTTCCGATTTGTTTTATTGTGGTAAAACATACATAATATAAAATTCATCATCTTAATCATTTTTAATTGAACAGTTCAGGGGTATTAAATACATTCATAGGCCAGACACAGTGGTCTATAATCCCAGCACTTTAGGAGGCCAAGGTGAGAGGATTGCCTGAGCCCACAGGGACCAGCCTGGGACCAGCTTGCCAAGACCTCATCTCTACAAGCCAATTTTGGCAGCGTGTGCCTGTAGTTCCAACTACTTGGAAG